AAACAATCAAAAATGTTTCTAGTCCCAGCCTCTTACTCACCCCTCCCTGAACCTTCCCTGCTTGCTCGTTCACAGCTAGGTGATCTGGGTCGATTCCAGGGCTAAAGCTTGGAGAGCAACAAATACAACTCATCTGCAGCGTCTTGCAAGGCAGTTACTGCAACCCCAACCTAGCTGCTTTGGACACGTCTATCTTTCTTAAAGTGAGGTCTCACTGTAGTCCCGGAATTCCCTTGAGAATCTAAGTGATCTGTGGTGCTTAACTTTTAAGGAGGCGGCGGCAGGGAGGGCTCAAGCTTCCTATGAAAACTTTTGCAAACCAAAAGCATTCACACATATCATTTTGAAAAGCCAAAAGCTGTCACACAGCAATTCCAGGGGGCTCAGAGACCCTCTGGAACCCATTCAAGGACGCGCATGGGAAGGATGCCTGACCAGCAGTGTGTGCACAAGTGTCTCTAAAGACTTCATGGCGATTCATCCCAGGAAGAGACACCTGCTGCAGTAGCCCCTGCTCCTCTCCGGGCATGGCCAACGGTGACGCTGAGAAGCCAGGAAAGAGCTTTGAGAGAAGGCTGCTGACCCTCAAGGGAGGTGTGGAGCAGGGAGTGAGTGGACGGTCCTGATGCCTCAGGAGGCCCAGGTACGAAGACAATTCCCATTTCCACTACTGAAGGATATCGAGGTTCCCAGGGTGCCTTGTGGAGTCCAGAGAGCCAAGAATCTCACAGCCCGTAACAAAAGGACATTCACTCCCACCTCCAGGGGCAGCCACCTCAAAATAATTCAGGACGTCCAGCCTGGAGCGAAATACGCTCTTGCTATGTTCTGCCGCTTATCCTCTCCACCTGCCTTGATAAATGTGAACTTTTTGTCACTCAGTCTGAATCCAGACAGAAGGGAAGCCTGCTTTTCCTGCCTTCTTGGCCACATGAATGTATAAAAACTCCGCAAACATTTGTAATACATGCAATAACATGTGTTTTGCTGTCATACTGAGAAGGTAGTGATGAATTCTCTTAGAGGGGACTCAAGAGAAGCTTTGCAGAGGGCATAAGCCCTGAGCTGGGTTTTGTAGGAAGTATAGGAGTTCATCAGGCAAGCAAGGACAAAGGGCACTACAGACCCAAGGAAGAGCCTGGCCAAGGCACAGTGGCATAGGAAACTGTGTGGGGAACTCTAGCAAGTTACTCTTGCTATGGAAGAGAAGAAGTTTGCGAATAAGCCCCAGGGGACATGGACATGTTCTTTTTAGTTTTGTTTGAGACAGCGTCTTGCTCTGTCACCCAGGCTGGAGTGTAGTGGTGCAGTCTCGGCTCACTGCAACCCCTGCCTCCCGGGTTCAAGCAATTCTTCTGCCTCAGCCTCCTGAGTAGCTGGGACTACAGGCACACACAACCATGTCCAGCTAATTTTTATATTTTTGGTAGAGACAGGGTTTCACCATGTTGACCAGGCTGGTCCCAAACTCCTGACCTCAGTTGATTCACCCCCTTTGGCTTCCTAAAGTGCTGGAATTACAGGCGTGAGCCACCACGCCCGGCCATGGACGTGTTTTAAAGGGAGGCAGAGGAAGACACTCAGAAGAGGTGAGAAAAAGAGACAGGGCTAGAATAAGATTAGCATGATGTCACAGAAGTCAAGGGGAGACAGAGTCCTGAAGGGACTATTAATATGATAATGAATGTGATATTGTTAATTATATAACTAATTAAATAGTTAAAGTCCTCAAAACCATCTCTGGAAAAAAGCATGGGCCTCAGATCCTGCCGTGGCTTGTGTTTCTTTTTCCCAGGTGCATCCTCAAACTTGGCAAAATAAACTTCTAAATCAGTCAAGATCTGTCTCATACTTGTTGGTTTACCAAACACACAATGCAAAGAACAAACGAAACATCAAAAAACTATGATCAATATTTCCAAAGACAGAGAGATAATACGTCCATGAAATGAGAAGAGAGTCCATACAAAAAAGGAAAAACGGACCTTCAGGAAACAAAAGGAGCTCTTAATAGGACATGAAAGCAACTATAAAATGTGCATTAGAAGGGCTAGAAAATAAAGTTGAAGACAGATTCCAGAGGCACAAAAAAAGGACGGAAAATAGATCAAGAAAGATAATAAAATTCAAGGATCATCCAGGAAGTCAATATTTTACTACTTGGAGCTCCAGAAAAAGAGAACAAAGAGCCGGAAATGGAGATAGTCGCCAAAGAAATGAAACTCACAGCGCTGCAGGGGCCAGGCCTCACCAAGTCCCATCTCTATTAACCACGAAGACCTGAGGCACAGGAGACAGAGAAGACATTTGAAACTTCCAAAGAGAAAAATGGGTCACACACAAAAATTCAAAGTTGGACAGTTTGAGGCTTCTGAAGAGCAACACAGGAAACTAGAATGCAATAGAAAAATCTCTATAAAAATCTTTTTTTTTTTTTTGAGACAGCCTCGCACTGTTGCCCAGGCTGGAGTGCCCTGGAACAATCTCGCCTCACTGCAACCTCCAACTCCCAAGTTCAAGCAATTCTCTTGCCTCAGCTTCCGAAGCAGGAAGGATTACTGGCGCATGCCAACACGCCCAGCTCATTTTTGTATTTTTAGTAGAAACGGGGTTTCACCATGCTGGCTAGTCTGGTCTCGAACTCCTGACCTCAAGTGGTATGCCCACCTTGGTGTCCCAAAGTGCTGGGATTATAGGCATGAGCCACTGCACCCTGCCCAAAAAATTATAAGAGAAAATAATTTTCAACTAGAATTCTAAGTATGCTCAACTAAACTATCAATTAACTGTCAAGGTAGAAGAAAGATATTTTCCAGCTGGGCTTGGTGGCTCACACTTGTAATCCCAGCACTTTGAGAGGCCAAGGAAAGCAGATCACTTGAGCTCAGGAGTTCGAGACCATCCTGGCCAACATGATAAAACCCCCATCTCTACTAAAAATACAAAAATTAGCCGGGCATGGTGGCACATGCCTGTAATCCCAGTTACTCAGGAGGCTGAGGCAAGAGAATTGCTTGAACCCAGGAAGTGGAGGTTGCAGTGAGCTGAGATCGTGCCACTGCACTCCAGCCTGGGCAAAAGGGCTAGACTCAGTCTCAAAAAAAAAAAAAAAAAAAAAAGGAAAAGAAAAAAGAAGAAAGGTATTTTCAAATATGCAAAGTTTCTAAATTCTCTTGCCTCTTTTCTCACGAAGCTACTAGAGATTGGGTTTTACCAAAATGAAGGGGCAAATCACCAAAAGGCAGGCATGGGGTTCAGGGAATTTGGGATCCTGTAGGTAAGAGGCAAAGGGAATTCCCAGGGCACTAGAGAGGGAAGCTCCAGCATCACTAACGATTATATAGGAGGCCCAGTAAGTAGCTAGCACAGATTAGAGCGGGAGACTAGGGGCAAGGCATATGGAAGAGAAAAAAGAAAGGAGAGAAGAGAGAAGAACGCTCATAACTTCCTCACAGGTTGGGATCTACCGAGCCCTCTAGGCCATCAGGAAAAAGAGGCCAATTTAGTCATGAATACATACATAGACAACTAAGCAAATAAAAACATGGCAAAACTTAACTTCAGAGGAAACCAAAAGTCATACACAAAGGGAATGTTAATCACAACATACTGCATGGGATGTAAAACAATTTAATCAAAGTTATGTAACTTTTTTTTGTGAGACAGAGTCTCGCTCTGTCGCGCAGGCTGGAGTGACGGTGGTGCTATCTCGGCTTGCTGCAACCCCTGTCTTCCAGGTTCAAGGGATTCTCCTGCACAGCCTCCCAAGCAGCTGGGAATACAGGCGCGTGCCACCACGCCCAGCTAATTGTTTTGTATTTTTAGTAGAGACAGGTTTTTACCGTGTTGGCCAGGACAGTCTCCATCCCCTGACCTTGTGATCTGCTTGCCTCAGCCTCCCAAAGTGCTGGGATTACAGGCATGAGCCACTGCGCCCGGCCACTACTTTTCACTTAACCAAAACTTGAGTTGAAGCTACATGTATGGAGAGGATGGGCGATGGGCTTGCATGCGGTTTGCTAGAACACTGTGCTTGCCTTCTGTCACAAGAAGTCAGTTTAGATAGTATTTATTTATTTTTTTTAATCTATTTATTTGTTTATTTATTTTTGAGGTTAAGTTTCACTCTGTCACCTAGGCTGGAGTGCTGTGGTGAGATCCTGGCTCACTGCAACCTCTGACCCCCGGATTCAAGTGACTCTCCTGCCTCAGCCTCCAGAGTAGCTGGGACTGCAGGCGCCCACAAGCATGCCTGGCTAATTTTTGTATTTTCAGTAGAGACAGAATTTCACCATGTTGTCCAGGCTGGTCTCGAACTCCTTGAGTCAGGTGATCCACCTGCCTCGGCAGCCAAAAGTGCTGGGATTACAGACATTAGCCACTGCGCCCAGCCTAGCTAGTGTTTAAACTGAAAACTCTACAAAGAGCACTATCAGGCTGTTGTTGGAAGTACACATTGGAATATCAGAAAAATTAAGACTTAAAGTGGTTGCCAGCCAGGCGGGTGGCTCACGCCTGTAATCCCAGTACTTTGGGAGCCCAAGGCAGGAGGATCACCTGAGGTCGGGAGTTCAAGACCAGCCTAACCAATATGATGAAACCCTGTCTCTATTAAAAATATAAAAACTAGCTGGGCATGGTGGTTCATGCCTATAATCCCAGCTACTCGGGAGGCTGAGGCAGGAGAATCACTTGAACCCAGGAGGTGGAGGTTGCCGTGAGTGAAGATTGTACCATTGCACTCCAGCCTGGGCTACAAGAGCAAGATTCTGTCTCAAAAAAAAAAAAAAAAAAAAAGTGGTTGCCTTTAGGGAGAGTGGGACACAGGAAACTGCTAGAAATCTGGTACTTTTTTGTCTTTCTAAGCTGTGACCATTCATTATCTTCATAAAAATAATAATTGGCTAATAAAAACAAGCATGTGGGCATATGTGAAGAAGTGAGAGAGTGAGCTTCTTTTTCAAGGAGGTTGGATTTTAAAATATGTAAAAATAGGCGGGAGCGTAGAGTAGGCCGTGCATTCCGTTCCAAGGACACTGTGTGCCCGCGGAGTAGCCATCATGAGCAAAGCTCACCCTCCCGAGTTGAAAAAATTTATGGACAAGAAGTTATCATTGAAATTAAATGGTGGCAGACATGTCCAAGGAATATTGCGGGGATTTGATCCCTTTATGAATCTTGTGATAGATGAATGTGTGGAGATGGCGACTAGCGGACAACAGAACAATATTGGAATGGTGGTAATACGGGGAAATAGTATCATCCTGTTAGAAGCCTTGGAACGAGTATAAATAATGGCTGTTCAGCGGAGAAACCCATGTCCTCTCTCTCATAAGGCGGAAAGTAGCATGGTGGTTGCCCGGCCTGGGGGAGGGGCGGGGAGTTATTGTTTCATGGGTACAGAGTTTCAACTTTGCAAGATGAAAAGAGCTCTGTGGATGGACGGTGGTGACGGCTGCACAACAGCGTGGCTGTAGTTAACGCCACCGAGGTCTACTCTTAAGCATGGTTAATATGAGCTTTGTGCAGCGGAGCATCGCAGCCAATGAGGTTTATCTGAGACTCCATTATTGCTAATTGAAAACTTTTCCCAATACCCCACCATGATGACTTGAAATATAGTCGGCATTGGCAATTTTTGACAGTCTCTACGTAGACTAAATTTAAAAAGAAAAAAAACACATGGTTAATATGGTAAATTAGATTAAGCGTATCTGCCATAATAAAAAAAAAAAATTGAAAGAGAAAAGAGAAAAGAAAAGAGCACCAGTGGCCAGATTGGCTTCAACAGAAAAGGAACCTAATCCCTGAGGCAGGAGGGAAGAGAGGGATAGATACAGAGAGAGAAGCTGGGAATTTGCATGGAATCAGGAGGTTAAGCACATCCAATCCTTGGCTGTTTCAGGGAAGGAAAAGGTAAGGGTGTTTGCTAAAATGCAAGGAATGTGGGGGCCAGATGGGGTGGGGTGAGGATAGGGGAGCGCCATGCCTGTCTTGGGGCTCCTCTGAGTCAGGGATGCACACAAAATTATGTCTGGAAACCAAAAACAACTTAAAATCATTTAAATCTTAGCTAAAGTCCCTTTCCCCTTCTGAAAGAAAAGTCAAAGAGGCAGTTACGTTCATGATGGCCAGCCTTCTCTCCACCTCTGGATCTCACACGGAGCAGCTCTCCCAGCTCCACCTCATTCCTGCTTCCTGTTCCTGGAAGCCTCTCTCCCAGCTCTGCCCCTGCAAACCCTGCCCAGAGCCCGTGGGAGGGGAGGAATAGGCTGAGGCGGGCAGGGCTTAGTGCCACAGAGACCCTCAGGGCCAGGAAAGGACTTGGTGTTTGTCTGGGGCCAGGGAGTCCAGAGGGTGACCTTGGTACAGGCCTCTGAAGCCTGAGAGAGGGGAAGGGGCAGGAGGGCAAGAAGGGACAGACTCAAGACGATGCTGGGTCTCACCATGTGAATGTCTGTGACCCTCTACAGTTTGTTTGTTTGTTGTGTTTTGTTTGAGATAGAGTTTTACTCTTGTCATCCAGGCTGGGATGCAATGGTGCAATCTTGACTCACTGCAACCTCCACCTCCAGGGTTCAAGCGATTCTCCTGCCTCAGCCTCCCGAGTAGCTAGGATTACAGGAGCCCACCACCACTCCCAGCTAAGTTTTGTATTTTTAGTGGAGATGGGGTTTCACCATATTGGCCAGGCCAGTCCTCACCTCAGGTGAACCACCCGCCTCAGCCTCCCAAAGTACCGGGATTACAGACGTGAGCCCCAGGCCCGCCTCCCTCTAAAGTTCACATGTTGAAATCCTCACCTGCAACGTGATGGTGTTAGGAGGTGGGGCCTTTGGGAGGTGATGAGGTCATGAAGGTAGAGCCCTCATGAATGGAATTAGTGTCCTTTTGAGGAGAAACATAAGACAGATTATTTTTCTCTTGATTATGTAAGGATACAAGAAGAAGACAGCCATCTGCAAACAAGGGGGAGACCCCGCAGCAGACAAAGAATCTGCCGGCACCTTGAGCTTGGGTTTCCCAGACTCCAGAACTGTGAAAAATAAATTGTTGTTTAAGCCACGGTCTGTGGTGTTCTATCAGCCCCAGCTAACTAAGATAGCAGAGAAAGGCAGAGGGAGCTATGCAAGCAAACGTATGAAGGGAAAAAAGTGGAGGCATTGTAGAGCCCTGCAACCTCCCTTTGTGGCCAGAACATAGGGAGCTGGTGGGAAGGGAGGGAAGAGAGGAAGGCTCACGTCATCAAAAAGGCTTTGAATCCTGGCTAAGTGATGTGGACCCACTCTACGGGCAAAGGCATCCTCTGATTCATTTTAGGGCATGCAAGATCATCAAACCTGAGTTTTAGAAAGGTAACTGTGTTGATAGTGGGGCAGGGACTGTGGGCAGGAAGGGAGGTAGGAGGAGTCAGGTGATTCAGATAAGCCGCAGTGACTCCTGGCCCAGGGTAGAGGCAGAGGCGTATTTATCAGATATTGATTGCCCACCTGATCTCAGTCAATTTCCTTGGGGATCTCAATGCACTCATTCACACTAAAGTGTAAATAACAAGACCTGGCTTTTACCTCCCCCGGACCATTTATATTTTGCCAGAAAAGAGTCTGGTGGTAGAAAGACTGGAGCTTGAAGCTTTCTGACTGTGCTACTAATATGGTTTGGATGTGTGTCTCTGCCCAAATCTCATGTTAAATTGTAATCTTCAGTGTTGGAGGTGGGACCTGGTGGGAGGTGGTTGGATCACGTGGGTGGATTTCTCATGAATGGTTTAGCACCATCTCCTTGGTGCTATCCTCGTGATAGTGAGTGAGTGAGTTATTGCAAGATCTGGTTGTTCAAAAGTGTGCAGCACCTGCCAGGCGCAGTGGCTCACGCCTGTAATCCCAGCATTTTGGGAGGCCAAGGCAGGCGAATCACGAGGTCAGCAGTTCGAGACAAGCCTGGCCAACATAGTGAAAACCCATCTCTACTAAAAATACAAAAATTAGCCAGATGTGGTTATGGGCACCTATAGTCCCAGCTACTTGGGAGGTTGAGGTAGGAGAATTGAACCCAGGAGACAGAGGTTGCAGTGAGCTGAGACCACGCCATTGCACTCCAGCCTAGGTGACAGAGGGAGACTCCATCTCAAAAAAAAAAAAAAAAATGTGTCGCACCCTCCTCTCTCTCTTTCTTCCCCCTGCTCCTGTCATGTAGGATGCTGCTCTGGCTTTGACTTCTGCCATGAGTAAAAGCTCCCTGAGGCCTCCCCAGAAACAGACGCTGCCATGCTTCCTGCACACCCTGCGGAGCCGTGGGCCAATCAAACCTCTTTTCTTTATAACAGTGTGAGAATATTTCTCACAGGTATTTCTTTGTAACAGTGTGAGAATGCACTAATACAGCTATCAACAGACCAGGTGACCTCGGTCAGTTTATCTTCTATGAACTTCAGACTCATCTATAAAATGGGAAACAATGGCGCTAACATCGAGATTGTTGTGAAAGCTAAATGAGGTCATGTCAATGAAGAGAGCCCTGTGAGTCATCAAGAGCAATGCTGGCCTTTTAATGAAACTGAATGAATGAAGTATTCATGGTAGAAGTTTCAGGCATGAGCAGCGAAGCTGAGGCTGGTGATGTTTTACTCATGGTAGGATCCCACCTTCAGGCAGCTGCCCCCACATGAAGCTTAGGGGCTTCAGGAGAATAGACACAGGAGCTTACGCACCAAGGAACAGTAATAACTGCAACTGCTGGCCGGGCGCGGTGGCTCACGCCTGTAATCCCAGCACTTTGGGAGGCCGAGGCGGGTGGATCACGAGGTCAAGAGATCGAGACCATCCTGGTCAACATGGTGAAACCCCGTCTCTACTAAAAATACAAAAAATTAGCTGGGCATGGTGGTGCGTGCCTGTAATCCCAGCTACTCAGGAGGCTGAGGCAGGAGAATTGCCTGAACCCAGGAGGCGGAGGTTGCGGTGAGCCGAGATCGCGCCATTGCACTCCAGCCTGGACAACAAGAGCGAAACTCCGTCTCAAAAAAAAAAAAAAAAACTGCAACTGCTACAATGCCACACTTGACATATTCAAGCCTTGGAGAAAAGCTCTAAGTACAGTAGATTCTTGGTATTTGGGAAGTTATATTGTATAAAGTCTCTGGGAACCCTCAATTAGCAAATACTGTCCAATTGTTCCTAGCGGAAATACAGAATTATGTTCTTGCAAGCTGTGGTCACAATGTTTTTTTGTCAATTTTTAAAATCAGTTTGTAGCTGGGCACCATGGCTCACACCTGTAATCCCAGCACTTTGGGAGGCCGAGGCAGGCAGATCACTTAAGTTCAGGAGTTCGAGACCAGCCTGGCCAACACAGCGAAACCCTGTCTCTACTAAAAAATACAAAAATTACCCAGGTATGATGGCACATGCTTGTAATCCCAGCTACTTGGGTGGCTAAGGCACGAGAATCAGTTGAACCCGGGAGGCAAAGGTTGCAGTGAGCCAAGATCGTGCCACTGCATTCTAGCCTGGGCAGCAGAGTGAGACTCTGTCTCAAAAAAATAAAATAAGATAAAAATAAATAAATAAATGAAATCAATTTATAACCTTGTATGATATGTGTTTCTGTTTAAAGACACCTCACTGAGGCATGGTGGTACTTCAAGAGGCCAAGGGGAGGCAGAAGGATCCCTTGAGCTCAGGAGTTTGAGACCAGCCTGGGCAACACAGAAAGACCTCATCTCTACTATATATATATATGCCGCCAGGCATGGTGGTGAGCACTTGTGGTCCTAGCTACTGAAGAGGTTGAAGTGGGACGATCTCTTGAGCCTGACAGGTCAAGGCTGCAGTGAGAAGTGATGGCACCACCTCACTCCGGCCTGGGTGACCAGAGTGAGACTCTCTCTCAAAAAAAAAAAATAAAAGGTGTTACATTTAATATTTGTTGTTGTTCATTAACACTGAACTCAGAGCCAACAGCACTGTAACTCATAACTGCACAAAGCTTATCTGACACATATTTTCTCCATCAGGCACATCACAGCCTTCTTGCACTAAGGAACGCCAGACAGCACTTCAGCGCTATGCTTGGTGGCAATTTTGAACCGTAAAATCACCAACAAAAAACAAGGATATGCAAAAATACCATGGCACTAAACAGACCAAGAAAAAGACCCTTGCTTACAGATGAGAACTGAAGTGAGAAGCCAACGTGTCAGCTTATTTGACTCAAATTTTTTGACATTCTGTACAGCTGCCAGCAATCACAGCTCCTCGAGTACTGATCTGGGGGTTACCAATACGATTTAGCAGGTACACTCATTTGCAAATATGGAAGCCACAAATAACAG